ATCACTGTAATTCAATACTAAACCTCAGTTTTGCATGTTCTGAAATGTTAAACGCAATTAATGAAATAACTTGAGTAGGCCTACATGTTTCTTAATGTGCAAGAATTGCTTTTATGCAATGTGGCATTTAAACAAGCATAATAACTTACATTTACACAAACAAAAATTAGCCAGTATTTGCTTTTCACCAATGCAAATTGGTGCATCAATCGTTGCGTGTGACCAAGCAACACACAATCTTGGATGCCTTTCCTGCACCCATGCTTTGACTTTCAAAAACATGCTGCAGACAAACTATATATATATATATATATTCACTACAAAAAAATACCACATCAAAACAACTAGTTGGACAATTGTATAAAAAACAGAAAGAACATGGATAATAAGATTATGTATAGGCTTAAGATTTTTACAGCTCAAACAATAAAGCACAGTGCTAGCAACGCCAAGGTCATTGGTTTAATTCCCAGGTAATGTATGAGTTGACAAAATGTATACCTTAAATGCAACACAAGTCACCTTGTATAAAATTGTCTGCCAAATGCATAACATGTAAAAATGTAAAGTAATTAAAAATAATTCAGAATAAGCTCCCATGACCAAATATGATCAAATAAAAAATGTAATGCCAGTGCTTGCCATTTTTCTTCCTCTCTTATTAATCTGATAATGTAATTTAATCAATAGCTTAAGCCTAGGTGAGGATATCTCAAGTAATCAGTGAATATTTCATCTTGTAATCAAATTATAGGGCCAATTATCTTAATAGCAGTCCTGCAGTTTAGCGTAAGACTCAAAGCTGCCACCTTATGGTGAGTACTGTAGTTGTAACTGCAGCATGACTTCAGTCTCATTCTGCCAGTGCTCAACACATGACACTATTCATGTGCTCCCCCCTCCCCCTTATTAATTACAAGTCAAGACACATCAAAACAGTGCCTTCTCCAGTTTGTAAAGGATCCAATTTAATTCCCAATCACCGCTGTGCACTTCAAAACGCAGAAAGACTTGTATTTCCCCAGAGTACTGAGATCAGACACGGGAAACGCACCAGGAAGTGTGGAGACATGGTTAATTATACTATAGAACAAGACCAGACATGAAACTAATTTCAGTGTGTTACTTACATTCAACCTTTAAGTTATTTATAGACCAGGCTACATGTATCTACAGCTATGCTCAAATAACATATACTACCTCTTGCAGAACCTTCAAGATGTTTCTCTTTTTTCTATTCGGTGGAAAAGATACGGTGTATTCCACAAGAAGAAAGAAAATGTAGCCCCTCACAACAATAGGCCTGTTCCCCGCTATATTAAATCTAGAAAGTACAAGGCTCCAAACACAAATAAACTAGCTTATTATGTATCTACTGGATGTTCTAAACCTAGTCTAGTCTCAGTTATGGTCTAAAACGAAGGCAATAGCCTGAGATTTTTCTTGAGCTGTGCAGGGCGGTGCGTTCAGAGGGCGCAGCAAGGCCCCGTTCCACTAGTGTAATAATCCAAAGCGAGTCTAGTGTTTGAATGAATTATTGATAAAGCTGAGTAAAGAGGGTAAGCAGCAGGCGGAGGTATACTTTGATCTCACAACTATAATTTCTCTCTCAGATCATCTCTCAGCAGTGAGAGGATGGCAGTGAGAATTGTCACTTCAAGTATTTAGAGGGATTCAAATAAGTCTGCGTCCTTTTAAACTCAGCCAAAACTTCCAGAAAAGTTCTGCAGTTCACTATATTAGCATAATTCAGTCACTTTTTGAGACCATCAACACTGTAAGTGAGCTGTGACATAACACTAACACCATACACTTACAATAACAATACTTTCCCCCCACAAAGCAATATTATTACATTGAAGAATAGCTCAACATGAAAAATCTTACAATAAACTCTCCTACTTATCAGAATGAAAATGACTTTTGTTCTTTCATGAAACAAAACTGCATGATCAAGAACCTCATGATATTTGATGTGTTTGTATGTGGGTCAAAGACGTTAAGATGTCCGCATCAAAAGAAATGTACAAAAGTGATTTATGTCCATAAGCACAATAAATTTAAGCAAAGCGTCTACTTTTAAGGCTTCAAATAAGTTTTTGGAGAATAAAATGTCAAAATTTGGTTGACACAATATTTATGTAAAAATTCAAACAACATGCTTATTCTGACGTGTACATATTAAAATGTATAAAAGAATAAGGGAGCCTATTAAATTTGATTGTGTTTTAAATGAGTAAATAATTCTTACTGACAAATGGGCAAAACCTAGGATAGTGGCAAATTTTAAAAATGTAAAATTACAACTAATTAGTATTTGGGGTGGAAGTAATTAGTCTTTAATCCGTCATAAACTGATTTTTGTTGTAAATATGCCTGACAAGATTGTTACACTGAATGGCATTTTAGTGGGTCTCTTCTGTAAATCAGGGGAAAATGTATGATATTTATTTTTTGCTCAGAAAAACCAAAACAAAATTGTAATTAAATTAAACAGAAAATTTTGTAATTTTTTGGGAGAAAACAACAACTTAAAGCAGTATTACACTTATTGTTTTTATGCTTAATCCCTTTTTCGTCTTTGACCCATGTGCGCATATATATATATATATACACTTGAGGCTTTTATGGCTGATATACTGTAATATGATATAGAATATCAAATATAGAATATGGTCACAATCAAGGAGGGAAAAAAATATGAAATTCTGATAGCTTGTAATATAAATCAATGTCTTTATATAAAATGCATATAAAAACCTATTGTCACTTTATAACCTCAGTTATATTTCTTTAGGAAGATAAATGCTTAGTTTTATTATCGAAGCTCTGTTTTATTGTGGAGGCAAAATATAATGCAGTGCCATATGATGATGATTGAAAGATGAACATATGTTTATTAAAAGCCTGACATATCATATTTGATACATTTAAACTTGATTTTTCTAAATCAAATTAGGGATATTTAAGTAAACCCAAATCACTTCAGTCCAGTAAGTGTTCATCTTGAAATATTACTAACAAAATAAAATGCATTTTTATGTTTACTCTACAAAAATCATTAGATTCCACAACAAAAAGACATACAGTGGGTACGGAAAGTATTCAGACCCCCTTACATTTTTCACTCTTTGTTATATTGCAGCCATTTGCTAAAATAATTTAAGCTAATTTTTTTTCCTCATTAATGTACACACAGCACCCCATATTGACAGAAAAACACAGAATTGTTGACATTTTTGCAGATTTATTAAAAAAGAAAAACCGAAATATCACATGGTCCTAAGTATTCAGACCCTTTGCTGTGACACTCATATATTTAACTCAGGTGCTGTCCATTTCTTCTGATCATCCTTGAGATGGTTCTACACCTTCATTTGAGTCCAGCTGTGTTTGATTATACTGATTGGACTTGATTAGGAAAGCCACACACCTGTCTATATAAGACCTTACAGCTCACAGTGCATGTCAGAGCAAATGAGAATCATGAGGTCAAAGGAACTGCCTGAAGAGCCCAGAGACAGAATTGTGGCAAGGCACAAATCTGGCCAAGGTTACAAAAAAATTTCTGCTGCACTTAAGGTTCCCAAGAGCACAGTGGCCTCCATAATCCTTAAATGGAAGACATCTGGGACGACCAGAACCCTTCCTAGAGCCGGCCGTCCGGCCAAACTGAGCTATCAGGGGACAAGAGCCTTGGTGAGAGAGGTAAAGAAGAACCCAAAGATCACTGTGGCTGAGCTCCAGACATGCAGTCGGGAGATGGGAGAAAGTTGTAGAAAGTCAACCATCACTGCAGCCCTCCACCAGTCGGGGCTTTATGGCAGAGTGGCCCGACGGAAGCCTCTCCTCAGTGCAAGACACATGAAAAAACACCTGAAGGACTCCAAGATGGTGAGAAATAAGATTATCTGGTCAGATGAGACCAAGATAGAACTTTTTGGCCTTAATTCTAAGCGGTATGTGTGGAGAAAACCAGGCACTGCTCATCACCTGTCCAATACAGTCCCAACAGTAAAGCATGGTGGTGGCAGCATCATGCTGTGGGGGTGTTTTTCAGCTGCAGGGACAGGACGACTGGTTGCAATCAAGGGAAAGATGAATGCAAGTACAGGGATATCCTGGACAAAAACCTTCTCCAGAGTGCTCAGGACCTCAGACTGGGCCAAAGGTTTACCTTCCAACAAGACAATGACCCTAAGCACACAGCTAAAATAACGAAGGAGTGGCTTCACAACAACTCTGTGACTGTTCTTGAATAGCCCAGCCAGAGCCCTGACTTAAACCCAATTGAGCATCTCTGGAGAGACCTAAAAATGGCTGTCCACCAACGTTTACCATCCAACCTGACAGAACTGGAGAGGATCTGCAAGGAAGAATGGCAGAGGATCCCCTGAAAAACTTGTTGCATCTTTCCCAAAAAGACTCATCGCTGTATTAGATCAAAAGGGTGCTTCTACTAAATACTGAGCAAAGGGTCTGAATACTTAGGACCATCTGATATTTCAGTTTTTCTTTTTTAATAAAATCTGCAAAAATGTCAACAATTCTGTGTTTTTCTGTCAATATAGGGTGCTGTGTGTACATTAATGAGGAAAAAAATGAACTTAAATGATTTTAGAAAATGGCTGCAATATAACAAAGAGTGAA